ACTACGTGGAAGGGGTCAATCCCGGTCAGGTCAGGACTTGTACCTAAATCTTCCACTGCGCTATAAAACACCATTTTGTATGTATCAAGATGTACACTGCTTGTTGAGATTCTACTTGCACTGCATTGTCCATTCAGTCCTTTTCATCACATTGCAGATCCTTGGTTTATATGTACATCGCCTAACTGGGCATGTAACATACGGTAAGTAGCCATCAATGACCACATAGATAGCAGCCCCTCGTTTCCCTCTCCTTCTTCGGGCCTCCCCTCGCCTCCACGTAAGCAAACTGTGTCCAAGAAACGAGCTTGATAGGGTCTGATCACATCAGAGTGCCACGTGGCACAGTTCTTCCGTGAAGACGTTACAACAGTGCGACAACAGCAACAGGTAGTATCTTCTCTCTCTCTCAATCAATCCACAGATCCCAATCTCCCTCCTTGTCGCGTCCCAATCAACAATGAAGACAGCATGGCATGCACCACGTTTGCAATGTAGACAGCGTGGCATGTGCCACGTTAGCAATGTAGACAGCATGGCATGCTCCACGTCAGCAATGTAGACAGCGTGGCATGTGCCACGTTTGCAAGCAAAAAGACAGTTGGCGCCAGAGCAAGAAGGCGCCAGCACGTGGTGCAGCAGTTTCGCGTCGTCGTCGCACAGTGCCAGCGTAGAGCTAGCCTCAAGCCAACGTGAAGGCAGCAAGGCAAGACTGAATGTTGACTCCCGGAGGCAAGGTCAGTAAGTAGTGTTGACGAGGTTGACCTGCCTCTGGTGCCTCTCCCACGGAGGCTCAAATTGACTTACAACCGGCGACCTGGATCTCGTAGAGTTACAGACTTCCACTTGGTTCGAATGCTTTCTGGATACCTGCATACCAACAAGTGTGTGTGTCTGATTGACGGCCTGGGCTCGGTCCATGCAGACTTTGACTCGTGGGCTGCTGAGCAGTTGACTTTGGTCAACTGTCGGGCGCAGGGCCCCTGAACCCAACTTGTGGGGGTTTTGTGCCCCTCGTCAACAAGGTCTAGGGCTGGCGTCGGCCTACGGGGCGGCCCCTTAGACAACAATTGGGCATATTGGAGCAGGTTATTGCATTCCTGCCGGCGCATTTTTCGAGTTCCATTGCAGAAGTTTTTTTTTTTTTAAACCCCGCTCATATGCAGCAATAATGTTAGGAGGAGTAGGTAATAGTTCCTTCTTGCTAAGCCATCTAGCTTCAGATGGAGGCTGAGACTTATACTTTGTCTTGAACTGCTTGTGCGATCTTCCTCTGCCACCTGTAGAGAAGTATCCATGTGCCAGTATCTTCTTAACTTCATAGCCACCATCCATCGAAGGAGGAAACATAGATGACCTGTTGGGAAAATCATGTCCCTCTACATATGGCAGGAGTTTAGACACATGAAACACATTATAGGTCTTGAGGTGTGGGGATACATCAACTCTATACGAGGGTCCATCTGCATCCTCACCTTGAGAACTTCCCAAGGTCCTTAGTAGACAGGCAGCAGTTTCTGAGACACATTTTCTTCCAAGGAAAATTCTTTAGACTTTACCCATACAAGATCACCTTCTTGGAATCGTGATGGGCGACGATGCTTGTTGGCKTGTTCTATCATTTGTAATTGGGCTTTCTGTATGTTTTCCTTGACTCTCTTTATGTCCTCTTCATACAAAACTGCAAATTCTCGAGTACCTGGGGGTAGCCTTTGAATCTCGTCCCGGGTTAGAGCATCAATGGGACGTCGTGGCTTCGAACCTTTGTGAGTGCATTCGGTGTTCTACCTGTAACGGTGTGTATATTGTTATTATATGAAGTTGCAATCTTAGGTAAGTTTTCATGCCAATCTATCTGATCGGGTCGTACATACATGCGCAAAAGTTGTTGGCACAAACAATTCATCTGTTCAGTTTGGCCATTCGTTTTAGGGAGTCTACCTGACGACATGGTCAACCTAGTGCCATAGGCTTCCATCAACTCTTGCCATTTTAAACCAGTGAACCATACATCCCTATCAGAGACGATGGTTTTTGGAAATCCGTATTCCGAAACCCATCGCATCTGGAGCTTTTTGATAACAAGTTTCATTTTAGCTTCGGCAGGCAAGGGAGTGAACATAGCATATTTTGAGAATCGATCCACAATGACCATTACCTAACTGTTGCCATTACGACTCTTAGTGAGACTCGTGAAGTCAATTGAGATAGACTCACCTGGCTCGGGGGCAAGGAAATTGGCACTATGCAGGGCTGGTTTTATTTTGGGCCTCGCTCGTCCACTCACCAAATGTGCAAAATTAGAATGAATATTCCACGAGAACGTGGAAAGATACGCTCCCATAATTTTCTTTCTTTTGTGCATATGGTTGCGTGTTGGAGTGGGGCCATTTGCCACCACATTTCGTTCACGCAATAGCCAACGGTGCTCACCTCATGAAGCAGCAATATTTCTACCTGTTTGTGAATGTGGGTAGGATTTGCCTGTTGTTCGGTGGCCTATAGCCACTGTAGCCGAATCATTGGAGGGGCTGGGAAACAACAGGGGAAGCGAGACGGGGAATGGAGAGTGCTTTCTTTTTTGTAATATCTGATTGTAACTGGATTCGAATTGGGATTTGTACGTCAGCAGTCATGGGTGTACCAACCGAGCTAGGGGGAAGGGAGAGTGCATAATGTTTTCATTGCCACTCCCAACCACAACTTCCAGGGTTTCCGGAAATTTTGATCCCTACAGACCAGCCGTGGAATCGCCTTGTCCAAAGGTAAAACTATTGGTTTGAAAAGATTACAACATATTTCTCAAGACTARCACTTTATTATGCATGTTTGTAACTTTTTGAAATGCACCTCGTATSACTTGCATGTTTCCTARAACACCCCCAAGTGATGCCCACCACTCGACGGAAGGCATGATTTCCGCATTCCCCTGGCAAGCGAAACCTCACCTCATCTTGTTGGTGTCATTTGTGATGCTTGACTCAGCTGCAATTNCCTCATCTTGTTGGTGTCATTTGTGATGCTTGACTCAGCTGCAATTTAGGAATGATATGGCGCACTGTTTTTTTTGTTTTTTTTTTTTTTTTTATGTATCTTACTAAGGGAGGACGCTGCCCGGCCAGGCCTGTCCGGGCGGGCTGGGCTCGGGGGGGGCGCCCGTGTAAACCGGGCGGGACAAAAAACCGCCCAGAAATACCTCCTGACGAGTCGGTGAAACTCCGACGAAACAGTTTGTCACAGCCCCTCGTTTGTTGTCCTCTTCTCCCTCTCTGCCTACGGTTTACCGGGCAGTTCTATTTGACGATATATATAGGGTTACCTGACCGAACATTCGGGGGCCCCCGGGCTGGCCCCCGAACGTTCGCGCGTTCGGGGTCTCGTCCGGGGGCCGAACACCTTCAGGTTCGGCCCCGGGCAAAAACGTTTTCGGGGCCTAAAAATAAGTTTTTTTTTTCTGAATTTTTTTTTGTGAGTTTTCTATGATGTAACCTACAGGCCTATAAATTTTGAAGACATTCTGCTAAGCCAAAAAAAACATGAAAAATCGTCAAAGATGGGGGTGTCCAAACGTGCTCAGTGGGTACACCAATGAACTGTTGAAATACAAACCTGTGTTCAAATCCAGATGATGGAACGTGACGAGTAAAACCAACTACTAATGAATTGCTTGGGGCTGGTGAGCTCAATGATAATATCTCAAGGTTGTCGCCCTTTAAAAAAGAAAAAAAAAAGAAAAAAAAACGTGCTTGCCCACTCACTATTTTGTTTTTATTCACTTTGTTTTCACTTTATTTCGGGGCCTTAAAAAATTCTTTTATTTTTTGAAATTTTTTTAATGAGTTATTGATTATGTAAACTACATATCTGTAAATTTTCAGGGCATATGCCAAAAAATAATTCAAAATCGGCAAAGATGGTGGTGTCGAAAAGGTGTTGGCACAATCACTCATTTTAATTCTCTTTTTATTTGTTCTTATTTTTATCAAAGTGTTTATTTTCTGTATTTGATTTTTAATTCAAATTTGGTAAAGAATTTGGATGTAGTGCTCGGGCAAATGTTGTTTAGTTTATGTTTCTCCATAACATTTTTTTTTTCGGAAGTTTTTCAAAACAATTTGCTTTTTTTTTTTTTGGTCAACATTCGACCCGAATGGCGGAACGCCTTCCGAAGGGGTCCAGGGTGTTCGGGATCGGGCGTTCGGCCCGTCCCGAACGCCGGCAACCCTGTATATATATATAGTTCGTCACAACCCCTCGTTTGTTGTCCGCTTCTCTCTCTCTGCCTACGGTTTTACCGGGCAGTTCTGTTTGTGACGATATATATATATATCGAGTATACTTTGATTTTGGTTAAGGCAGATTATCATTTACAGTGTAATTAGTGAGGGGATTCTGCAGACTTTCGAGGGTTCAGCCTCCTGATGAGTCGGTGAAACTCCGACGAAACAGTTTGTCACAGCCCCTCGTTTGTTGTCCTCTTCTCTCTCTCTGCCTACGGTTTACCGGGCAGTTCTGTTTGTG